AAAATTAGAATATAGTAAGAATTAAGTTAAAATAATCTAAATTAAATTAACTTTGCCATTAATTAAAAAAAATTATACTTCAAGCAAATATTCTTGAAGCACAAAGTAAACTTTACCTTTAACCCAGTGCAAAAGAAACAGTTGTATTGAAAGCTACAATACAAAGAAAATATTTAGGTACAGAATATATTTCAGTTACAGAGATATTTGCTGAACTGCTCTGTTCAATGTCTTTCAAACTGGAATATGTTTAAATATGTTGGATAGTACACTGATTATTATTGCAGTGCGTTAATTTCGCTTCATATTTAATTTACTTATTTATACATATACGCGTCTAACAATTAATCAGTATATAGTCGTGTGTTTAATGTAATTAACAGAGTATTAATAAATTTAGACAGAGTTTTGAGACTATAATGATTAAATACAGCTCGAAGAAGCTTAGAATATTTGAATAATTATGACTACTTAAGCGATTTTTGACTTTCATCTATCATCTCTCTTTCATCTATCATCTATCATTGATGTTGCCATCTTGTTAAGGTTATGTAACCAGGAAGACATACAGGTCGTCCCAGCACGTCTTGCAAGTTTATATATATACTGTCTGTAGTTAATAAATTTGCTCTCATATTTATTAAAAATATTCTCTCTAAATGCTCTTTAATATGAATTTATTAAACAATTGTCATATTACTCTGAATCAATATTTCTTATTAGCTCCCTCTCTCTTTGTCTCTCTTGATTAAAAATTCTATTGTCCATGCTCTTACTTGAACAGGATATTAAGAGACAAAGTCTCTCCAATACTTGCCTTGCCTCCTTTTATTTGGTATATACATACATATATATTTTGTATTTATTTACGATTTTATTTGACACCTGCAGCCATGAGAATTGATATGAACTTCAAATAAAACTAAGCACCCAGAAGACTCTGGAAAATGTCGTAATGCCCTTTATGCACAAGCTACCTGCTAGAATGCATTTACACTCAATTCCATCTATTATATAAATTTATATATACATACATATTTATTTCCACACAATGGGAAGCAATAGTCAGGCTATTTACTTATCAATTTTTAGGATATTGGCTGGCCACAAAAAGAAAAATTATATATATAAATGAAATTGTATATACATATATTTATATATATCTGCACCTATACAGAAAATGTCAAATATAACAAAGCTGAAAATTGTAGAGGGAAAGAATTGCTCCTGGAGCGTTGACCAACACAAAATATACCAGCTTTTGTGTTGACTGCATTCGAACACGTGGCACAACAATTTGAATGTGCTATGCATTTGATATTTTCTACCAGCAACAACAACAGCAGCAACAACAACTTCAGCAAAATCCAAACCTCGAATTTCCGGTGGCCTCAGCTTGAGGGAATTTGTTGAATTAGGTTTCCTTTTTTTTTTGGCAAAAAAAAAAAAAAAAACTCTTGTCTTTTATGGTTTTTGATAATCCTAATGAAATAAAATGTAATTTTATTGCATAAATTTATGATATCATAAATTTGAAGTGCATAAATTGTTTTTATGTTTTGTCTTGCTCAGCGATTGCAGGGCATTCGCTAGTCGTGTCCCTATCGACTGACACTTAGCTTTGTAGTTTCTTGTTCTTATTGGATTTAACTGGCTTTAATTCGTTTTTCATTGCAATATTTGGTCTTTTATAGCTCTCAGCAGCAACAGCAACAGCAGCAGTCCACACGTCGCAGACAGAACCAGTCGGAAAGGATGCAGAATGGACGTGAACGCAATCGTCGCCCCAAATCGGATGGTGTGCAGCATGCGGACAGCAGCATTATGGAGGATGAGGTGAGTGCGAGTCGAACAAGTCTGTTGACTTGTTGTTTATTATGATAGACGTCGACGTATCACCATCATATGTTTACACTTTAAATATGTGTCTCATTCGAGTCCTTAATCGGACACACATTGTTAGCATTTGGGGCTGGCTCAACTTGTCGCCTTTGCGTTTTTGGATTTTGTGTCTTGCCAAATCCGTAGCTATATTCCGTCATGTCCTCGTTTGCTGTCAACTGCCACGTAATTTGATAGTTTTTCTACTTTGCTCTCTATATCAACTATACAAATATAACTAGATAACTCTGTGTGCATACATGTATGTATGTATTCCTTATGTATGTATGTACTATACGTATGCCATTTCTCAGTTGCTACATTTTGGGCTATGGATTTGAAAAACCAAATCTTTTCCTCTTTGTCCGCCCAACTGGCCAAACATGCAAACGTATACATAATGCGCTTTGCAATGAAATTACGTATACGTAACGTTTGCTGGCAGCAACAGCAACAGCATCAGCTGCAGCTGCAGCTGCAGTCCACAGAGCCAAGCCAAGCCAAGTACAACAACAGAGCGCAGCTGGATAGCTTTGAGCCACATAAAGGGCGCCCACATGCTGCTCTCGTATTGATAGAGGACAGGAGATGCCTCTTTGAGCATTCGCTGCCATCTTCAGGTTGACTAGCTCAAACCGTAGCTGTAGTAAAATTGTTTTCTTTTCTATTCATTTTTGTCTTGTTTTCTTTTTCTATTTGCTTGCCAGCCCAGGTCAAGTTGTATAAACAGAGAAATTAGCGTAAATGCTTTGATTGAGTTCTTAAGCTGTGGGAATTGTGTTTTTGCATTTTCTTTTTCATTTCTATGACTCTGGCTCGGCATCAAACTGCAAATCTGATTTCTAGTCAAAAGCTGCAGTAGATATATGCAAGTTGAGATCTGGGGTAGTGAGAGCCAAGAGAAATTCTGTTCAAGGCTTAGGACATTTCATATTTATACAGTTCCTGAACTTAAGCGGCTTAAATATTAGCAAAATGCAAAATATTTTAATATTTATTAAACTTTGAAATTAAATTTACATATCAAGCATTTATATTTCTCAGTAGCTGTAGCAATTAAATATTTTTAAAGTCACAAACAAATAAAAAGAAATCAATAGTTAATAGCTGATTTTCGATATCACAACTAGAAAATTTATATTGGAAAACAAATTTAGGGAAATTCGATATGAAAATTAGGCCTTTTTTCTAATTTATTATTATTACTATTTTTTTTAAATAACTAAATTTTAAGAAAGGAATTTAATTGCTTGGATAGATTTTTTGACTTTGATAGATAGATGATTGATTTATTAAAATAAAAATTAGAGAATATCCGAAAAATAAATATTAAAATTTGAAATCTATTTATTTTTAAATTTGTGTCATTTGGTTTCTTCGTAAAGGTTTTTCACTCCATATTGAAACTCATCTAAATATATCTCCACACTACAGTATACTACATACATATTCATCGATTCATGCTCTATTTAAGATTCGTACTATGATAAAACCATAATTAATAAATATTTTGTCAAATTTTTCTTTTTCCCAACTTTCGTCGCGTTCATTTATTGCGATTGCGAATTGTGTGTCATCAATAAAATGGTATATTTATATTTATGTGTGCGTGTATCTCTCTCCGTGTGTGTGTGTGTGTGTGTATGTGTGTGTGTGTGTGTAGCATTCGCAATTAGTGCAATCGCAGGACCGTATTCCACAACCAGCGAGCGCCAGCAGCGGCAGCAGCCGCACCAAAACTCTTCTGGCCATGCCCTATTTCCAGGCGTTGCTCAGCAACCTGCAGGTGAGCCCATCCTTTGGATTGGTTTCATTTCGTTACATTTTGTTCCATTTCGTTTCATTTCGTTCCATTTCGTTTCCTTCTTTTTTTTTTTGGTTTATTTCTCAACTTGCTGTGCGCATTAATTCTTTCATTTGAGATTGTTTTTGATTTAAATGTTTTCATTTTTGTCGCTTCTTCTTCTTCGTTCCAATTTCGGTTTTCTTCTTCTTTAAATTGTTAAAATTTTGCGCAGCCCCAAGGCCTCCGCCCCCCTCTGTATATAGCACATTTACGTATGTATGTATAGTGCAGTGTAACTGTAATTGTTAGCCCCAAGGTAGGCACCGAAATGCATGTGTGTAATTAGTGCACTTGCTGTGCGTGGGCAAGGGCGTAAACGTGGGCGTGGGCGTGGGCGTGGCTGCATGCGAGAGCAAATTGCCAAAGTTCTGCATATAAATTTACAGGCTGCGCATATTTGTCTTTCAGCCTGATTGGGACTTGCTCCCCGCAGACGCCGCACCAATTGCAGCAATTAGTCAATGAGAAGACCCCACTAAATTCGACCTTAAAATTAACTAAAATTTTGCGGCTAGATAACATTCAGTTGCAGTGTTTTGTTAGTCTTTAGCTATAATTGAGTTATTGTTATCTATAAACGTTGCTTTGCCTATTGAAGTTCAGTTTTGCAATTGTAAATTATTTACATTTGAATTTCAATTTAATAGGCTTATTAGGTTTATTAGGTTTTGTGTTTGTTTATATAGTACTTACAGATAGGTTAAAGCTCATAGCTATTGTTCTATAAGAATTCGATCAAATTATATGTGATAAGCAAACAAAAGTTTTACATTGCCTAGATTTATATTTTAGTAACTGTTTAAATCAAGCGATTAAGCGAGCTCAAACAATTATTTGATATGGAAAGTCTTTACTCTACACGAAATGACATGAATATAGCTTTAAATTAAAAGTATAAACAATATAGGATATCAAACAGTTATGAGTCTTCTTTTAAATTCTGTTCCTGTTGCTCTTGTTTAGTTATAGTTACAGTTGTAAAAAAATTGTTTAATAAATGCTATTTAATTAGCTGTCATTGTAAATACAAAGATTATAGCACCATTTTTTTTAATAAAGTTAAATTTAGTATTCTACACGAAAAATTTTGGTATGTGTGAACCAAATTGAGCGAGAAATTCACAATTAAATTAGCAACAGTTTTTTGTAAGATTTTCTCAATTTTAATTTTTGTTAATAGATAATCTCCAAAAATAATGCAAAGCTAATGTATATATATATTTATAGCCTATAAAATGAAGGTCAAAAGAATTGCTAGAATATAACTGAAAGGATATATGAATTTATTCATTAAATAAAAAATAAATAGTATGTAAATTATCGCATTTGTATGGGTATTTCGCTTATCTTGAAAGCGCATCAATTATAGTGGTTATCCACAGCTATAAAATTTACAAGTTGAAGAAGTTTTATTGGCATTCGTTTCATTTTAGTCTCTGTTTAGAAATAAACGCAGTTGATGTGAGGTTACATATTCTTGAATGCATTTCGAGCTCTTGAGATTCAATAACTTTTTGTACTAACCTCTGGAAATTTCGACTACGCAGAACTGCATACCCCACATACAGTGCAGCTGTGAAACAGCTGAATTCCATTAGCTTTTCAATTTACTTCGTTTACTGCAAGGCCACAGAGGGAGCTCATTTAAACACAAATTAATTTGCCCTTATTTTTCGCTTCGCAGTTATTTTCGTTCTTCGTATTTTTATAGGTGTTTTTCTTTTCTTGTTATTTTGCATGCCTTCTCATTTCGTTTACTTAGTTAGCACTTCGTTGCATGAAATTTCGAAGACGTTCTCACTTGTTGACTTTTGACTTCTTTTCAACACTATTTAATCTTTCTTTTCAACGTATACGTAAACCGGAAACAATTAATTTTTGTTTCGTGCTCGCTTTTTCGGTGGGGTTGATGTTGTGATGCTTAATGTCAAACCAAACCCCATTTACAACACAATAAAAAACAAAACAAAACATAAACAAACACCAATGGAAACACAAATACAATTGTTAACTGAATGATGTGCAATGTAGGTAAAATATATAAAATATTACTGAAATACTACAAGCTATGCTACTCCATTCCATTTTAACTACGATATATGCATAAACATCTCTCTCTCTCTCTCTATCTCTCTAAAACTCTCTGTCTCTCTTACTCACTCTCTGTCTATATCTTTGAGGCAGTAAGCGCCTAAATCGTTACGCTCTCGACCAAGATAAAATTCTTATTTTTTTAACAATAGATAATAGTTTTTAGCTATATATTTTCTAGCCTTTCTTTCATTTCTTCAATTAAAAAATTGGTCAAAAGTCGCGCTCGAGGCGAACTTTTTGAGCGCTTCGCTCTGCCACTCGCCATACGCCATTCGCCATACTATTTGCTATCAAAGACATTTTCCGCTGACTTTTATTTGCATTTCGTGCATTTTGCTGAAATGGGCAAACAATTGGCATAATGGTCCAGCAAAACAAACAAGAGCTCCAACCCAAAGCCCAAAAGTGCAAAGGCCAAATGCTAAAAGTCCAAGCAAAGCATGCTCAAAGCATAAAACCAAAAAAAAAAAAAATAAAATAAAATAAAAAAAAGTTATTCCATATATTTATTGCATCAAGTGCAAACAGCAAAGTATGCATAAAACCAACTCATTTAATCAAAGTAAAAAATATTACAAAATTCAATAAATAAATATATATATCAAATAAAAGTCCAAAATAATCTTAAATTAGCATGAAATTCCGCAGGCTAATGCTTATTATTATTGAGCGGATTGCCGAGCGCAGTCAACAGAATGCATGAGTGAAATGATTGAATGAATGATTGAATGCATTGTGATGGCCAATTGCATTTGAGTGAAAGGCTCGATTCTGCATACTTAATCGCCTATCACGTTTTATATAATTGTATATCTGATGTGTGGCACAAGCGTGTTGCAACTTTTATGACATTTAACTCCATTTAATGGAAATCAGCTGTACGTCAGCTCTAATTTGGTTTAATAATATTTGGGTCAAAGTTTTGCAAATGTTGAATGCTTCGTTAATTGACAGCTGTTGCCTGGGAATATACAAATCACTTTAGCCACTCTAGTCGAGCTCTAGTTTCTAGTTTGTTAGTTTAATATGCAAATGTACATAATTTGCCTAAATCAATTGATATTTTGGCTAATTATAGAGAGACTGTTTAGCTTTTCAATCTGACAGCATTATAGCAAAAGTAAAAGTTCAATTTATCGTTTGTTGTTGCTTAAGCTTATAAAAATTCAATATAATAAAAGTTTTATATAATTCAAATTATATATATTTGATTACATATTTAAGTAACGAAAATTTGTACATGTGAAAGAGAAAATTTACAATTATTCACATATCAAGTCGGGCTCTAAGATTATAAACAATTTAAAGTTTTCCGATTTACCCAACATCAAAGGCATATGTACGTACTATAACTAATTTTTAGTATATTTATAAAAGATCTGAATAGCGGATTATTTTTAATAATAATTCAAAGCAGCAAAATATATAATATTTTGATAGGCCACAATTACAACCAGCTTCTATATATACTATGCTCTTGACACAGTTAACTTTCCTACTTTTTTTTTTAATATTTAACATTTTTATATTAAATCTCAATATTCCATTTTATACACAAAATGAAAATAATTTCCTAAAGCGAATTTATGGCATTTGCAATAGGTTACACTTCGATTGACAACGCCTAATATAAACTATATGTGTTTATACATATATCAAAATTAGTTATATGCTAGACTAAATTAGTTATATACGATTAAATTCGTACTAAATATTTACATCCGAGAATCTATATGAAATAATTGAGACATAACCATTTAATTCTCTATAAAATCAACTTCTACTATTTATACATTTAGGAATTCTATATTTAGTACTCGAATTGATTAAAATATCTCTCATCGAATAATTGGTTCATAAAAAGGAAACTTAAAATTAAATTCCATAACTGCAATTAGTTGCGTTTTAAAACGCAGCAATGCAATTAAAATGCCATTGAAGGTAGACTATGAATTGTGAACTACAAAATATGCTGCAAAGTTAAAACCCAAAAGCAGCATCCGACTATAAACAAAAACAAACACGACAACAACAACAACAACAACAACAACAACAACAGCAAGAGAAGAGCAGCAAAACAAAGCACTTAATTAAATTTTAATTTGTATAAATAAAATTTATGCATTATTGTTGGTCAACCGATATGCACGACAATTTAATTTAATTATTATAATACACACACACACATACACACCCGCAGAGAGWAAGAAAACAGTTATATAGTATTTGATTATATACTGCGAAAGTTGGAAAACATTTCACATTATTTGTGTCATTTTTGTGGTTATGACTGGGATTCACGTAAATCTGTTAACAAATTTTTAAACAAACAATATGCAAACACTCTTCGGAAGAGATGAAAGATAGAAAATTAAATTGCTACTAGGTCAGGGTCGAATTGGCAATGCCCTGTAAAAAGTATAGTAAAGATTGTTAAGGTTTTGTATGAGTTAGCTATTTGATATGAGTGAATCGTCCTTTGAAAATATCAGTGGGCAAACAGGAATTCTAAGATATCATTGGATAAGGTACAGATATACTCTTTGCTCACCATTTCCATAAATTTCCTAATGGTATTTTTGCAAGTATGGAAAAAATCGTTTATCCACATAGAGTCTGCCTAAGTAAATTTACAATAAAAGCTATAGAGCCTAGTCTATATATAATTATATAGTTGAGCTCTATAGACTTACTGCTTTGTCATCAACAACTTAATCAAATTGCCTCTAATTTTCCAAATAGTAATCTCGAGATTACTTTGTAATCCATAGTAGTACTCGAATTTATTTATTTATTTATTATTTTATTTATGTTTATAATGTACATTTTTAAAAATATTGTTTATA